TACGTGTCACATGTTAGTAAAATCAAACCAATCACATCTCCATAGAAACAAGCAGCTGGCTTGTGACAAAGGGCATCTATAGCCCTGTTTCCACCAGCCCCTCTTGGGCCTTCTCTAACCTACTCTGAGTGTTTCCATCAGCCCTGTTAAACCGGCACCAGGTACTTTTTTAGTGCCTGCTTGGTCTTGTGGGTAGGCTGTAGACTAGACTAGAGTAGAGAGTAGAGAGTAGAGTAGAGAGTAGAGTAAACAGTAGAGTAGACAGTAGAGTAGAGAGTAGAGTAAACAGTAGAGTAGACAGTAGAGTAGGCAGTAGAGTAGACAGTAGAGTAGAGAGTAGAGTAGACAGTAGAGTAGAGAGTAGAGTAGACAGTAGAGTAGACAGTAGAGTAGGCAGTAGAGTAGACAGTAGAGTAGACAGTAGAGTAGACAGTAGAGTAGACAGTAGAGTAGACGGTAGAGTAGACGGTAGAGTAGAGAGTAGAGTAGAGAGGAGAGTAGAGAGTAGAGTAGAGAGTAGAGTAGAGAGTAGAGAGTAGAGTAGAGAGTAGAGTAAACAGTAGAGTAGACAGTAGAGTAGAGAGTAGAGTAAACAGTAGAGTAGACAGTAGAGTAGGCAGTAGAGTAGACAGTAGAGAGTAGAGTAGACAGTAGAGTAGAGAGTAGAGTAGACAGTAGAGTAGACAGTAGAGTAGGCAGTAGAGTAGACAGTAGAGTAGACAGTAGAGTAGACAGTAGAGTAGACAGTAGAGTAGACGGTAGAGTAGACGGTAGAGTAGAGAGTAGAGTAGAGAGTAGAGTAGAGAGTAGAGAGTAGAGTAGAGAGTAGAGTAGAGAGTAGAGTAGAGAGTAGAGTAGACAGTAGAGTAGACAGTAGAGTAGAGAGTAGAGTAGAGAGTAGAGTAGAGAGTAGAGTAGAGAGTAGAGTAGACAGTAGAGTGAGACAGTAGAGTAGAGTAGAGCTGGTGGAAACAGGGATTTTGTGATTTTATTTAGACTATACATTATATTTACAAATCCTCAACCTCACAGAAAGATTCTTCTCTCATTACAGTTGCTGGAATGTGTCTCTGGAGGATTTCTGATGCTACTTCTTCATATTTGTCCTTTTCACCAAACTGACGCACTCCGAACACTGGCGCTAAAAGGTAACATCCATCTTCAAGCAAGAGTGACAGATGATCTTTAAAAACTTTCTGACTTTCAAACTTTCCAGACTTTGGGGCGGTCCGTGAGATATTTTGGTTTTGTTTTTTTTTGTTATTTGTTTTGCTTTTCAGATTGGATGCAGGAATAACGTGTTTGTTTCAAGAAGTTTCAACTACTTCTTGTTATAAGCAATATGTTCTGAATATGGAGAAAGAAAAGTGGCATGCCTCTTGTCATAATTACCTCTGGTAAAGTGATCACCGGCGTTTGTCTGTTTGTCTGGAGGTGACCTGAATCACCATTTTAATGCAGGATTTTTTTTAAACGACCCGGGTCTGTGCTCTCTGAGTGCTTTTTTAGTTTAAGCTAAAGTTGCTAATGCCATCAATAAGGTTTTTAAAACAGTAAATCATGCTCGGTCTCAAAACCACGCACCTAGAATTTAATCCCGAATTCGAGATATAATTGTTTGTAGTGAAAAAGCTTTTATATAAAAATAGTAATAACCTTTCCTGAGTATTTGCTCCGCTGTCACCTCTGAGGTGGATTCTCTCTTTAGAATGCAGCACTGGGCACATTCTCGATTCAACATTCAGGCTTACAAAGGTGAGGCTGTTGACTCCGTGAAATCCTGTTTGAAGCCGGCTCCGCTAGTGGCACATGTGCAGAATGCATGAGCCCAAACTTCTCTCTTTTTTGGCAGCTGAGAAATTGCTTTCAGATTGATGGAAAAAGCAGGTTGGAAATTGTGAATAGCTGCTGAAAGGTCACACTGCGTCATGCTCTTTCATTTAGGAGGTTCACATCAGCCAGTGTAATCCTGTTTGGCCCCAGTAGACTGGCTCCTCTTGCCCTGAGCTACTTTGGCGTTGGCACGGTGGTAAACGTGCCAGTAAGACCTCTTTTAAATTGGAAATTCAATTGCTGTCTGCTGGGAGAACATTGGGATAGAGGAAAGAAGAAACCAATTTTGCTCATGAATCCCTCTAAGGCTGCGAGGATATTTGTAGGAAGTAAAGACAGTAAGAAGTCATTGTAAATTGAAATACATTTTTTATTGAAATGATTGTTCTCTGCCGCGTTATCCCGCTGTGCACCCATGTTGTATTTTTCTTTTTTTTTTTAAATTCCAACTAAAACAACAATCCACCTTGGTCCCCGGGGAATATAAATGTTTGCAAACACATTTTTATAAGGACAACTTTATAAAGGAAAGAACAGCCCAAACCATGACGGCTTGTTACGCTGTCAATATCCCTTGTGTGACCTGTGTGTAGTTTTATAACCTTCATCCTCTGACCCACATGTAAACAACAGCCTAGAAAACAGACTATTGCTGTCTAAATAACTACGTTGCGTGCGGGTTAAATGCTCTGTCGTTCTGACCCATCAATCCGTGTCACTCGGTGTATAAGGAAAGAGTGCCCCAGGTTTTTGGTTGAAACGCCTGTGTTTTTGCTAGAATGTGTGTATTTTTTTTTGTTGTATTTGGGTGGGGGCACTAATCCTGCATTTTCAAACCACTTCAAAAACATGTAAATTATATTCAGCAAGTCCTGTCTCAAATTGGCAGTTCTTAAGACTTCTGGTTGTGAAATGACTTCAAAAAAGCTGGCCATATCTTCTCCATAGCGACCACCTCGCCGCATTTGCATTTTCCTCACCTGTTAACAGCTTGTTGTGTCTCTCTACCCACTCTCCATCTCATCTGAATGCAGCCACACCACTGCTGCTTGTGCGGCTGTGTAAAAAAAAACCCACCTCAAAAATTTTTTAGGAGATACACGCTGCTACTATCACGCTGGCCGCTTTGATTTTACCCACCTAAATATTAATAGATTTCATGGCTTGAGGGGTGTCCTTCTGTGATAGGACGCAGAGCTTTCTAGCGCCTGCAGACTCCAAAAAGGGGAACGCAAAAGAGTGGAGGAGAGAGAGAGAGAGAGAGAGAGAGGGGTGAGGCAGAGCTAACGACATGTGGGTGCAATGATTGGGGGGTTATTGCGGAGAGAGCTGGGTGTGGATAGTCCAGGGATTTCTCCAGTAGTGATAGTAGCGTTTCTTCTCCCCCCTTTTGTGTTTGCGCTCCAGGCTGCAGTGGAAGGGCGAGCACATGTGAGCGACGCGCCTAAAGAGAGAGAAACGGAGGAGAGAGTAAGAGCAGAAGGGGGGGCAACGGTGGGATGCTGGAGAAGCCAGGGAAGTGTCCTCCAATCAGGGGACAGCGGGTCCAGAAGCAGCCGCCGGTGATTTACGACTGACCTAGGACACCGCACTGCACAAGCGTCAGTACAGCTGTGAGCACCTGGGCTGATAAAGGAACCACACACTCCCAACTCTCTTCAATTATAGGGATTACCGAGCACCTAAGGACTCGTTTATTTGACTGAAGAAGGACTGTGTTTTTTTTTTGGGCATTCGTGAGAAGATATTTTGAGAGTAAAGTTGTGCACATGCAAGTATCGTCCAAGCCTTCAATCTGTCTGGATCGTGCCTCGTCTAGTTTGCGTTTGTTATGCCTCCATTTGAGTCCAGTTTAATCCTAATGTGTTAGTTGCATTGTTTTAGTTCTAGTCCTGTAGTTTCGAAAGGGTGTGTGGGTGCGCAAGTCTGAACAGAAAGCTACCTTGTTTTGGTCCACTCATGGGATTACAGGTGCGTTGAATGGGGATTATCCAGCCTTAAGTCCTTGTAGAGTGGAGAATGGGAGAAGGACCTTTTAGCTGGCTGTCGCTGGGGGGTTGTATAGATAAAGGGTTAGCCTGGATGAGAGGGAAGGAGTAGGAGAGGGCTCTGTAGACATGCCTGAGAGATTGCCTTTGGAGCTGGGGTACCCTTCAGGGGATGGAGCGAGCGAGGCAAAGTGCCAAAATGTAGGAGACATGCCATGCGCCTGACGAGTGGTGTCCTTAAGCACAAAATTCAATTGATTCCTGACACGGTATTGATTTCGACATCGAGACCAAATCTTAAGCGTTTACTAATTCAATTATAATCCAGCCTACAGCGGTGTATGCACTTTGGAAAGGCACCACTTGTCATACTCGCTGACACCTCATGGATTTGTTATCGTCTGCCACAACCTCCCCGCCAAGCTATGGAGCGTCTGGCAGCTTTCATTCAACATTTCGCATCACCAGCTGGATTGGAAACGCCTCGGTGTGTTTGTGTCATGTTTGCTGACAGCGGCAGAAAGAGTGGCAGGTTGTAGAGATTGTGGCGAGGTTGAAGAGGTACAAGGATGTCACCCTGTCGGTTTGGATTCAAGGTGTCAGGCTTTTTATGTATTTTGAGGCAAGCTGCTTATCGTGGAGGCCAGGCAAGCGCTTAAACTTTTGCAAACTTGTGCCACCAACGCTGATTTTATAGAGGATTTCTATGGACAAGTGTTTTTGCTGAGAGTCAAATATTGTTTGGTAGTTTGTTATAGTGAGAAAGCACACAATTTGGAACAGTAGAATTGCAAATTGTTTTGTGCAAATTAGCTAGGAGTAAATTCAGTTTGAAAAAGTGTAGGTGGGTGGAAACAGCAAAGCAACAAACACGCCAAGCTACAACTTTTTTTTCTTTTTTTCCCGTAGTGGAAAAAGCACAGATTTTTTCAGCGATTAAACGCCACAAGCACAAACCACAAGGACAGTACAACAGCCAAACCACACAAAAAAAACATGTTTGCGTGGGACTTGTAGAAGTTTACTCTGGACTTGAAGGCAAAGACAAGATGCGGAGGATTTGAGGAGTGGTGACATACGCTGAGCCCTGAACTGTTGGAGGGTGGGGCTGCACTGCCACAGACAAAGACCCAAAGAAGAAGAGAGGAAGCAGTGAGGAGGAGATCCCAGTCCAACATCATGGGGTGCAACATGTGTGTCGTCCAAAAACCGGAGGAGCAGTACCGGTTCATGTTCCAGGTAAGTCAGAGCAACAAGCACAATTAGGCATTTATAAAAATATTAAAAATATATAAATGTGTCAACTTTTTTCCACCTTAATCAGAGGTTTCCAATTTATGGCTGTAAAAAGTCAATTTGATGATTGAAATACTGTAGTTCAACTAATATCAACAGTTTAGTCATCAAGTACTTTTTTTGAACCATACAAAGACTTAAAGATGCTTCAATCAAATAATGTGAAATAAGTCTTCTCTTTTAAGTTCTCAAGAGGCATCACGCTTTGTTTTGGTCAAATTAATAAAAAAAGCGCATATTCACTGGGCTTTCGGGAACAACTAATTGATTGATCTGATGAATAATCGACCAACTAATTGTTATCAAAATGAGATAAGAAAAACTTTATTGATTTCACAATGGAGAAATGTACATATCACATTTGGCATAGATAGGATCACACAAAAGACAGGCAAGATATTATGTGCAATAATCAATTAAAAGTGTATATAGCAGTTTTTTAGTCTTAGTGCAGGTCATTAAAGTGACTTATTGGTAATTACAGTCCTGGTCCAATCTTTGGCCTGGGTGTCAAACGTGAAGCAGAAATCTTTTGAAGTTTTGTTTATTTGAATAAATTATTGTGAATTGTTTATTATTGTCATTATTATTATTGAAAGCCTCTGTACTAAGTGAGAATGAATTGTTTTCACATTAAGACATCATAAGTTACTGACCACCAATAACTGATCCAATATCTTATGTTAAATTTCTTTTCAAGAAGAAGAACTTTTACCCATTTTTACTTCAGATCTGCATAAACTTGTTGCATGGGAAAGGGATTTATAAGGTTCACAATGTAATTTTTTCAAAGCCTTTCCAAAATATCAGTCTAAATATCAGGCTGAAGTTTGAAAGAAAGATGCTGATGTGTGCCAGTGGCTTTTATTTATTCATTTATTGAATTGAGAAAAGCGTGTTAAAGTACAACTTGTGGAGGGGGGAGTAAAAGCAGAACAAGTTTTCCTGATGTCTAGCTCTGGGCCCACAGCTTACTCCAGTTTTACTTTCCAATATCAATTAAATCTTTGGTCTGTGACTATGACTTTTTACAAGATTTCTGATTAAAGCCACAGTGATACAGCCTGTGCATCTTTATAGACTTTCCTTTATCATATACCATTTCTGTCTGGGTCATAAAAGTAGACATTTCATTTTTATTGTAGATTATTTCAGCAGATTACAGAACTGATTACTTTTGATTAAGCAATAGACTTGTTTTAGCCCCATTATACACTTTTGAACAATATAGGTGGACACTATTGTTTTTAAGTCATATTTTTCTCATAAGAATCACTCAAAACAAATACGATAAGAGTTCTTTAGATGTCAGCCAATAATTCAGTTTTTACAGAGCGCCGAAGCCAAGTAGCAGTGGTTTCCATATAACACATAATTGAGTTTTACAAGGTGTGGCAATGGCTCTCACCCCTCTAAGAATATTCACTGGAAGTACTCCAGCAGCAGCTTCTGTTGCAAGAGTATAAAGATTAAATATAGCATAACTTAAATGACATTAATGCTCAGTGCGTCCGTTTTCTGTAGCTTTATGTTCAGTAACCGCAGATGGTAAATGTATTTGTCTTCAGAAGATAATAATCATAATTTGTTATGTCCATTGTTTATCCTGCTGAAGGGAAGCCAGATCCAGCTGAGCAAAATATTATCAAAATAAGACTTTTCTTCCAAAACTGGCTTGAGTTTAAAGAGGAAGAGAAAACAATGTAAGAATAAGAAGAATAAGTAAAACAGATGGACCACTACATTTGTATTTTGTGATTGTGTAATTAATATTAAGAAAGAAGGTGATTTGGAAAGAGAAAGTATTTTTTTCTGTACTTTTTTTGGTGAATGAAATGAAGATATGAAAGCTTAAGAAAGACATGCAATGGTTTTCTTAGTGGTAAACTTCCCTACATTCAATGTCTCATTCACTTTTTAGTCCCAGTTTGGGCTGTGGCACAAACCAAATCACAATCTTATTTTTTTCCTCGCATTGACATTTTTAATTCAAAACCGATTGTGCCTGAACCTCCGCTAATTCGCCTTCATAATGTTTGGCTTTAATATATACTATCTAATCTCACAAGTCTGTCCCCGTGATTGTGCACAAATATATATATATATACAATTTCACAAAATAAAACAAAATCTAATTAAAACTTGTGACTTGAGATCAGTCAATATGAGGAAACAATATTAATTTACCCCCTACAGATCGCTCAGCCCTTGACAGTCCAATATTATGATCTGGCTTTAGTTTTAGCAACTCATTTGTTATGAGGCCTTTATTCGTCTGTTTTGTTATTTAATAATTACAAAATTGGATTTAGATTTAGTGACCCATAAGCCATGTATTTAAGTTTGTAATGTATTGGTGTAAATGTGGGTTGAACAAGAGTGAAAATCCCATTAATAATTCAATTTAATTTAATTTTGCATAGCCCTAAATTCGGGCGTTCTGCTCTCCCAAAATTTCATCCACTGAGCGGCGCTGTGATCAAAAAATGACACCGTTTGTTGCCCAGTTCACTTCCGGTTGATTTCATACAATGGCGAATATGGCTCACGAAAACAACAAACGATTGACAGTGCCTGAATTGCGTGAAAGGTTGAAGCGAAAGGGTATTTGCAGTGTGGGAAAACGAAAGGAGGAATTGTTGTTGCTAGTTCAACGAGCGGATGGTGTTTATGAAGATTTAGAAGAAGATGACAGCGAGCAGAGTGAACGAAAACGGCTGTGTGTGCGAGTGACAGATGGTAACAATGAGAATGAAGTTCAGCTAAGAGGGAAGAATGTGAATTGGACGGATGATTTGCGCGATATGCCACTAGTTAGAGACGGGAATGTATTTGCATACAGAAAATGACGAAAACGCTCAACCATTTAGAGAAAATGCGCCGGGCAGAGAGAACCGGAAGTTGCGAAGGCAAGTGTTACCCATAATGCAACGCAAAATTCAGTCGCTCCCCCGCCCATCGGATGGAATTTTGGGAGAGCAGAACGCCCGAATTACAACAGCGTCGTCTCAGAGGACTTTGCAAAGTTGTCGATTCACCAACAACAGATCAGAAAATCAAACACAGGAGATGCAATAGTAACAAACACATAGGAGCCATTGGTTCATAGGGAGCAGGATGACCATAAATGTTTATAAAAATGCATAATGTCTCTCGATGTCCCTGACCATCACTTCTTGTATTAGACCCTCCTCTGACTGTAATGTTGTGCTTGTACCTACACAGCCACAGAAGACAAATACCACGTGTGCATATTCTATCGGCTTCTTTTGTGCTGCTACGACCACTCACTTCCATAGTTCATCTTGGTGCCGCTCGTACATGAGTGTAATTACAGACCAAAAGAGTGATAATGATGATAATGACTTCACACACATTACAATCTCGTGGATCAGAGCGAACGCAGGGAAAGACCAGCTCAAAGCCCCACGTTTCAGCGAGATGGATGGACACGTTTTAAAGCCTAAGGGCTAAAGTAGGACCAGGGAGTTGCCACGGTTACTGCCTCAGCACCTGCCAATAGCTCCGTGATTAAGTCGGGGGGATATACTGCTACTGTAGAGGCTGGAGCTGCGGCCAAAATCTCGCTGCAGGGTTGGGCCATGAAATGTTGGCAGGTAGCGGCCACGTTTGAGCATTTAGTTTTTGTTGTGACGTGTTATTTTCTCATTTATTTACCCAAAACAAGCTACAGGTGCGTATTTATCGTGCTGTATGTGTCTACTCCATCCAAAGCTCGCTGCATTGTCAACAAAGAACAGATGGACAGAAATGCTATGGAATAATTTACCCCTGGTTGTGAATCTCAAAGAAAGTATAGTATATAATTATAAAGTGGATACGCCACCAACACAACACCACCTCAACATTGAAAAGCCTTATCCTTACAGCCCATCTATGCACCAAATTTCAGCCCAATCTGTCCTGTACTTTTTGTGTACTCACACAGACTATTACAATACCCCACCTGTTGCTTTATAGTTTTAAAATGGATGATGTAAATAGGTTGTAAGTTTTACATTTTCTTGTGATCGTACTGTACTGCTATTAATTGGCTCTTGAAGAAAGGACGGAGGATCTCAATGGGAGCTTTCTGAATTGATTATTACTTTGGTATAAAAGTTTACAGATAGATTTTCTTGAGCACTATGCAATGTGCAGGGCTTCACACCAGTTGGGAATATGTTCATATAGGATTTCCATTTTGTATTTATAGACCCACCCATTGGGAAATTATCATTCCTCTGCATTTTACCCATAATTCAACTAATGTCAGACTGTGGAATGGAAGGAGCCCAACTTTTTCATACCCATTTCCGCCTTTATAATGACATCAATGTTCTCTGAAATTGTGCTTCCTCCATTCTGCTTCATGATTGTTTTATATTGTCTAATAATCTTAAAATCTTATCTTAAAGGTATATAGGAGGATTTTCCCAAATTTTAGGAAAGAACCACCCTCTCCACTTTTTGAACAAAACTCTCTTGTCTTATTTGACGAGCATGTATCACCAGAATGATTGACAAGAGGGAGGACCAATAGTCTTAATGATCCACCCGGAAGTAGAAAATCCTCCTATAAACCGTTAAGTAGAAAATACATGGGGAAACAAGTAAAATGCGGTAGATCCCCAGGCTCCCAACAGAGGGAGGAGTTGAATTTATTTGTTTTTTTTCCCAAATACAAAAATTGCCAGCTGCAAACGGAGACATGCAATTGAAAAGAATGATATCATAGGGGTACAATGCGATCATACTGTTACAGAACTGAGACAGGAGCTTTTAGACGGCGTGGAGCTACATGTTTTTGCCAGAAGTTCAGGGGTGGATTTGCTTGTGATGAGAGCACAAGCTTGTAACATGGTTAAAAACTCACCTAAAAAAAGTTGAATTTGCAAAATATGTGTCTGATCCAGCTGTTGTTAAGACTCATCCAAAGAAAC